ATCCCCAAGCACCAATGAAGCATCTTCATTCTCCACGTCCATCCACATTCTCGCTCGTCTCCTCAAATTCCCAATTGTGTCTGCTCGAAGCTGTACTCTGCCGCCTCATTCTTCCACACATACACTCGCAGCAACTTTCACCCGCTCCATTCCAGCGCCAAACCAGCACCCCTGCTTGACGCAGCCCACGCTCGCTCGGCTTTGCTCGCTCGCACCAGTTGCCAACGCACATCCATCCGTCCACCTTAAAAGTCAACTGCGCTCCTCACCGACGCAGCGGCTGTACCCCATTCCACACCCACCCCTCCTGACCCTGCCCTCGCCCTAGAAGGACGTCGCTTCAATCCTCACGCAATCTTGCAAATCTTTCGTCTTCAAATCACTCCCACACACACCCTCTCACAACTCCCGAGGCGATTCAGCTGAAACACCCAGCTAGCACAGTAGCATACAGTCCCATTTCGTGCACACGATTCTCACCAACAGCTTCTCACACCAAACACCTCTCGCAACCACATCACCATGAAGTTTACTCTTCCCCTTTTCCTCGCCGCCGTTGCGCTGAGCGCTTCCGAGGCTGTCGCCAAGCCCAACTCCGTCTACGACATGGACCGTCTCCCCAGCGGTATGATGCTCCCTCGTCGTAGCCGTCACCCCATTTCTGAAGAGCGTCGTCGCGCCATGATCGACACCTACTTTCAAGAGCACCCCTTGGAGAGGCGCGCATATGAAGACGATGCTGCCCCCATTCGTAAGCGCAAGGCTTGCAAGGCCAAGACTTCTAGCGCGAAGAACAAGGCTCACAAGTCCAAGGCCAAGTCTGCCTCCTCGAGCTCTTCGGCTTCATCCTCGGGTAAAGCCGAGGCCGCCGTCGGCGAGGACAAAGTGGCTGCCAAGACCAGCTCAAAGTCAAAGACCTCATCCTCTTCTGACAACAAGGACAATGGCGGCGGTGACGACAGCAGCAACGACGCCAGTGGCGTTGTTGCCGGCATCGGCAAGGGTCTCATCGGCATGAAGTTCGCCGGCGCTTGCTCTTCGTCTGGCGCCACGAAGTCGGATCCCAACGGTAGCATTGATTTCCTCAACTGCGGAATCAGCAAGTCTAACCCGAACTCCAAGTGGAAGGCTCCCAAGGTCACCCTCAAGGATCTCAAAGTCATCAGCGCCGATCAAGCTGCCAACAGCGCCGCGTTCAAGGCTTGCGCGAAGTACGAGGGCTCCTTCAAGTCCGCCGAAAAGTCTTCCGGTATTCCTGCCGTCGTGCTCATGAGTTTCGCTATGCAGGAATCCACTTGCAACCCAAGCGTCAAGGGTGGTAACGGCGAGATTGGCATGATGCAGCTTACCCCCGACAAGTGCGGCGGCAAGAACTGCTGGGACGTCACGACCAACATTGCCACTGGTGCGCACTATTTCAAGGACGAGATTGACAGACGCGGCGGCAACTTCCTTGCAGCCCTCGGCGCGTACAACGGTTGGCAAGACAACCAGATGAGCTATGCCAGCGCCACGTCTCAACAGTACGGATGCCACGCTCAGAACAACCTCGACTACCTGATGCAGATGCTCAACTACTGGTTCCAAGGCAAGATGGGCTACGAGTACAAGCACTACAACAACCTTGGATCCTGCTAAAGGGAGTCGCGTCAATTTGGGCTCGCTCATTGAACTCCGCGGTTGATCCGCGGGTTTTCCACATTCAGACTGCTCCTCGACATCCGCTCTCCGTGTTTCACATTCTCTAACGGTTTCCTTGCCTCCAAGCACGCAAATAACACATTTGGCTGATCTTCATGTAGACCATCTCTGGGAAATGGAATGCATACGCGCTAGCCGCGGACCGGTCTCATGATGGTCGTCGATCGATTCATCTGGACGGTCCGCGCGTGTCAAAACATAAAAGTCCGTCTGAATATTCTCGAGTGCGGATACCGGTCTGAGCCTCAGAAAGCCCCAGGTAAAGCACTGAGTCGAAAGGGGCATGTCTGCGAGAATTTCCAAAGTAGCATTCCTAGTCTACTTGATCGTACAAATACACGTGTCCGACTCTCATCCCGTAGCAACGAGACATCAAATGCCGTAAGAGCGAACGACGGAAAAGCTGAAAGAAAGTTTGTGGGAAGCGTTCATCAAGGTCGAAACTTCTGCTGTGCGGAGGTTGACGCTTGCGTAGTCGAGCAGATCAAGTCGATTGTGTTTGCCCAGCTGGGACGGGTGCGCATGTAACGTCAGACGCTTGACTGTTCACCGAGTCGGATGGATCTGACATCTGCGAGCGTCATCGAGAAGACTCACGCTGGTCTGTCGCAAAAGCAAAATGACTCGGAAGCAGTACTTGTCCATAGACCTGTCCTTGAGATCCTCGATGATGACTTTGGGACCAGGCGGTCTTGCTTCTTCTTCATCGTCGGCTAGTCCGTACGGCATGAGCTTCCAACGACCAATCGCAAATCCTTTGCACCGGAGTCCAGGCTCCATACGACGAACCGTATCGGCTGGAACGTCTGTGGTGAGCAATGAAAGGGCTCGACCATCTGGCAAGAAGCGCAATGAGCGATA